ATATATATATATGTTTTCTGCTGCTCAGCCAAGGAACCTGGTCTCACCCACCTGAAGCAAACCAGCTGCAGGAACCCAGAAGGTGACAAAAAAATGTGCTGCAAACCTGAGCCCAATGGCTGTTCACTTTCCACCTCTGCTTTTGTTTGTTCCCATGCTTTGAGAGCCCATGTGGCTGTTTTCCTGCCAAGTTTTAGAGCCCATGTGGCTGTCATGTTGTTTCCTTCCATGGTTCATGGAGCCACATGGCTACAGTCAGACCATGTGGTTCAAATGCATTTCCTCCCTCCAGCCACTCTCTCCACACCAGTGCCAAGGCCAAGCCCAACTGCGTGCCTCAGTACCAGCAGCCATGCCCATGAGGAAGCCAGCTGCCAGTGCAACCATGGCTGTCTCCCAGCCAGATGAGGACCAGGTCCAACCTTTGCTGCTGTGGGATATCTGGCTCCACTGCAAGAATCCACAGCGCCCATGCACCAGCTGGGTGTTCATGCGCAAGGTTGCCAAGAGTGCCACTTGCCAGCTGTGTGGGCACCCATGGAGGGATTCCCTGCGCCAGGGTGGGGCCATGCTCCATGACAGAAGGCCAAGGCCAAGGCTGCAGCCAAGAAGCCAGCTAGAAGGGCAATGGCCAGACCAACAAGGGCAAGGGCCAGCCCAAGAAGGCCATGTCCAAGGCCAAGGCGAAGGCCAAGAAGTGATGGCTCCAGAGTGGCCAGACCAAACAGAAGTCTTCCTGAGCAAGAAGGAAAAAATCCAGGATGCCTTGCCAGAGCCCAGTGGCTGTGCTGCCCACTTTGAAGCAAGAGTGCTTGGAACCGGTTGGTTGTTTTTCCATGCTTTCATGCTGTGTTCCTGCCATGGTTTCAGAGCTGTACCATATCCTGAGCTGCATGGCTATTAGTTTCCAAAGCTGATATTTAATCTCTTGAGAGCTCTTTGGCTGTTTCAACTAATATAAAGAATTACATATATGGAGGTGTACCTCCATGCAATGCTTGGGCAAAGTATATCTTCTGCAAGTCACAAAAAACTCCCAAACTGGGTTCAAGTTTTTGTTCCACTTGTGATAGAGCCATGACCCAGTTCTGGACTTGGGAGGACTCCTCCATAAGACCAGACAGCCCTTGTGTGGCAGCTATGTGACATGGACCAGTGAGGCCATAGTCAAGCTTTTGGCAGGGGTTTGCTAGGGCGCAACATCCAGAGCTTCTCTTCTCCACACCATAGAAGAGTCTTTGGCCACTTTCCACAAAGCATTTCCATCTGTTGGCATGATTCGAAAGTGGCACTGGACACTCCACTTGCCAGATTCTCTGGCAAGATATGGCCAACTGCCCAATTGCTTTGCCTGTGAGAGAAAACATAAGGCCATCAGTGCACTGGCCGCCAAGTTGAAAAGGACCATGGCATATGAACACCATATGATGGAGCAAGTTTTGGCCACTGAGATCACCATGCTCAGGGAGCCAGGCCAATTTCCAGAAGGAACCCAAATCGTCCAACCCAAGCAAGCCAATAGCAAGCAAATAGCAGCATTGAGCCAATTCATTTCCACACCCCGCCCTGAGGCCAAAGTATCTTGAGAGGGGAGGCTATTGCCATGCTCAAGATGCCATTGTCTATGCAGATGGTGGTAGTTGGAAAGTGGCCCAGGTGCAGTTCCATGTCATTGGCATTGCACCTTTGTCCAGCCCTGGTGCCTCCAGAAATGCCACTTCGAGAAGCAATGTGCCAAGTTCAAGCCATCAGACTTGCAGGGACTGATTCTTCTTCTGTCCATTTTATATCCAGTAGTTTTCTGCAAGGACAAAGATGAAGCCACAGTACTCCTACCTTTCCAAATCTACAGCCAGAGGTGAAAAAAAACAGCTTGCTCTTCAAATCATGGGAGCCATGGGTGGCTATCATAGATCCAATATAGCTGGAGAGCCTATATATGGCTATCATATACTTTGAAAATTGCATAATTTAGCTTCACACAGTCCACATTTACCACCTTTCCACATCACCATCTGCACCATGTGTTTTTAACTTGAAGCCTTAATTTTTTAGAGTTATAACTAGTTAGCAATTATGTTAACTAGTTATAACTTTTTAGCTAACTCATGTTAACTAAGTTAGCTAGTTATAACAAAACCAGGGTTTTAAGTTCCAAAATACCGCATCGGCCGCAACTGGCTTCCAATCTCCCAAGTCACACGCTCGACAGAACTCTTCGAATTTGCTTTCCCGGTCGTCCCAACTTCCTGCGGCCCGGGGGGCGCCAGTCCAAAATTCGTCGAACCCAGCGGTCATCAGGTAAGCGGGCCACATAGCCACCCAGTAACCAGTGCTGGCGGAGACATAGTGTCGGCCAAGCAACAATACCGGAGGAATCAGCAAATCGTTGAGCCCGCACGTTCCAGCAATGTAGAATTTCGTGCCACTCTTGGTCCCAAGACATCCCTCCAGGAGGCCCAGCAATTGTACGGAGTAGTTTGCGGTATTCTGCTTTGATCATCTGCATGTCTTGGTGGTGCACAGTCCTGTGCCCAGCACCGAAACCAGCAAGAATGAGACTTCAAAGCTGTGGATTGCTGTGCGTGTGTAATGGTTATCGAGGGGTTGACGGAAAGGGAACTTGAAGTATATACTACACCTGGTAACTGCGCTATAGCTACCTGGGTATCTATACCTGCGCCAGCTGAGTAAGAAGGGGGGCTCGGGGGGTGGCCTGAGAAAGCACACTCGAAAGTAAAAACGCTGGCTTCTGCTGTTTGCAATCGCCCGCCACCCAAATATAGCCCCAATGTTAAGGCGCGCAGCAGCCAACCACGCGCCACTACCTCTCTTTTACCCGTCGTGACTGCGTCGCAATGAACGCTCAGGCCCACCCTGCAAACCACCACGCAACGAACTCAAATGCCGCCTTGCCGCACCGTGCCACGACCCACCCGGCAAATCTAAAGTGACAATGCCATCAAATCCTCTATTCAGCACTTTGGTTTGTGTGTTTGCAGACGTTGTGGAATAGTGGATTGGACCGTTCGTCGCGTGCATTCCAAGCCTAGAGTCCTACCCTGTAGTCTGGCCTCGCCTCCTCAGCAAACTTTTGGAGACCTGCCTCAAAGACCCCATTCTTGAGACACACTTCAGCACCCACTTCGCAATGCTCCGAGGGTCTGCCAAGCGCGAGGACAGGTTAGCCTTGCTGAAGCGCTTGGGCCTTGCGGACTTAGAAGAAAAGAAAAGTAAAGAAACGACGGCAGGGAGGGGCCGGTCGATATGTGGAATTTCATCACCGCAGCAACCCTGGACCTATACAAGTCCCTGAGGCTTTCTGGCCGTTTTCAATCCCGCAGTTGGCTGGTCAGGATGCGCATCCTGAGCGCTCACGCTCACCACTTCCACCAATGCATGGCGCACGATGTTAGGTCCATGTTGGCGCCATGTTAGGGTCAATGTTTCGGACGCCAAAGTCGCTATCTGGAAGACAAACGTTTGAGATATGGACTTCTTGGGCTCATTTGGCTGAAATGGGACCTATGTTGGGCCAGTTTCACAAATTTTGGGCGCTTCGGACTCCAAAGTCGCTATCAGGAAGACAGACGTTTCAGATATGGACTTTTTGGGCTAATTCGGCTGAAATGGGACCTATGTTGGGCTATGCTAGGTGCATGTTGATGCCACCTCCAGCTTCTGTTGAGCCCATCTTGGGCTATCTTAGGCTATGTTAGATGGAACCTATGTGCAGCAGTTGCCAGTTTCAGACAATGTTCCAGCACGAATTTTGGGCTGCGCTCAAAAGCGTAGAAAAACATAGGCTTTTGGAGGAAAAATTGGGCCAACACCCCCCATGCGCTAACAAGGTATGTAGTTTTGAGGCCAACTTGACGCACAACTAGGCGTCTGATACGGGTATATCCGTTTCATATGTTGATGTTTCTTCGAGCTGTCTGATGTCTTCGCAGCTGGGGACGCGCTCGATTCTTTTTCTTCGGACGTGGCAGGAGAATTGGCTGGCAAGCTGCTCGCCACCAAATCACCTGTCCAGGAACACATATTTTCCACAATTATCAGCATGGCCCTCATAATTTGCATCCAGCATCCACGTGTTCCGTGCATCGAAACAAGTATTCGAAAATGGAAGTTGGCAACCCTTCGTTCGCCACAAAAGAAGCTTCTTAACGTAAACCATCTGTCTGGTCTTTGTCTTTCACCCAACACAGTCGTTGCCCACATCCAATCCAACACAAAGGAAAAGCACAGTCCGTATACCAAACTATCCACGGTTTCTTTTTGCCATCCTCTGAGCGTTTGCGGCGACCACGTAGGCGGGTCACCAACATTTCATGCGCGACAGGAGGGGGGAAAATCCCGGAGGGACAAGGTGTCACGCTGGCAAAACCGGCAGCGCAAATTAATAAGTTTGGCAAACCTGGCTGCGTGTTCAACTTGGAGCGCGCACGTCCAACAAAGCAACGTAAGATGATTTGATTCAGCATTCAATTGAATTTGCTCGGTTGGACAATAGCCATCAGGCCAAGTTTTCCAACATTGCGCGCATACTGAAGTTGAAGCCGCTTTCCGCTTTCTTTTGCTTGACGACGAGGCACTGGCTCTGCTTCGGTTGGTTCTACTGCTACAGTCTTGTGATGCGTGCAAAGCATGGCCACATCCAGCACACCAGTATCCCAATTTTTTGCATCTCTGCTGAGAAGCGGCTGCGACGAAGAAGGTCACCACATGCTCCACACATCATCAAACGGGTGTTCCTTGGATCCCCTCTGCTGCGAGAGCAACGGTAACATTGAAGGTGTTGACCTTCTGAAATGTCCGACAAGATTGCTGTTTGCGTGATATTTGCTGTAAAACAACGGAGGGGCCATCGAACTTCGCTTACCCTCGATACTCACTCGGCTGCAAAATACACCTGCTTGCCAAACAAGACCCTGCGTGTTCTGTTCAATTATTACGTCTGCACACTACATCGAAACTGCGACCATTTCTCGCTAAAACCGAAACAGCTCCTCGGTCTGCTCTGTGGCTCCCTGCAAGCCGCACATCACCTGCTGTCGACAAAAGAAAGCTAGACAACGGCGGCGCTTGCAGCTACATCTTCACGCCTCGACATACAGGCGGTCGCTAAACTCATGCCTTTGTCATGCCTCATGCTCCGGAGGCACGTCTTCGTCACTGTCCACGCATGATTTTGAGAGTCCTGCCTAAGTCATGCCTTCACAAGAAGAACCCCATGTAAATGCAACATTTACAGTTTTGTTTTGGGGATTTCATGTCCGAATTTCACGATTTCCTTTTGAGTAGCTGGATGTCCCACCCAAAACCGCGTTTAGGCACTCATGTTCCTTCTCCCACAGCAACCCCAACTGCAGGTACTGCGGAGAGGACACGCGAGGGAAGTGATGTACGCATGGAAATTAAGGATAAAAAAACGACGTCTCGAACGACGTATCGAACGATTTGCCCGAGTGTTTCCATGAACAAACACCCATAAACACACATTGTGCAAAATCATGGCTTGCGTTCTCTGAAAAGGAACGACTTTTGCGAGATGCTCTCTCCCAAGGTATTCTGTTACAATACCATTTTGGGCACGACTTTAGCATCTGACTGCACATAGTGGCCAATCGGTTCACGGCTACACATAGGCAAACACCAATACACAAATGATACATCCTACTCGCCACAGATACACAACGGACATAGGACAACTCATCCGTCCGGCCAAGAGCCCGAGTTCACTGCTCCGGGAGCACGACTTGCTATGTCTCCTGTTCCTCTGAGCACAACCCTTCCGCGCGGACGGTTGCCGTCGCAAAGCGATGCGAATATTATTGGTCAGTTCTGATATGGCTTGTTGTTTTCGGTTCCGCTTTACATCGCTTCGACTGAGGTCAATGTCCACGGATCTGTTCCAACGAGCCGGGCGGTTAGATATAAATACTGGTTTTGCGGCCGTCTACTTGTCACACTCTCCTTCTTCGTGACGCGATCGGAGCACCAAAACATACCAAAACCAAAGCCTGCGACGAATAGAGCCCGTTGTTGGCAAGCAGTTTCAGCGCCAACAGGTTCTTTCATTTTGTTGCGCTGCACCTTTGGACATCTCAGGCCTTTTACCATCGCCTTGCTGCGGCCGGCTTGCTTCCAAAACCTCTCAGCCTTGTACTCACGAAGTATGGTCTCTTGATTGTTTTTTTCTTCGGATGTGCTTCCCAAGAGGATTAGACTGAAGCATCTATCCAGCGCGCCCGGAACAGAAGAGATTGCCCTGTGGCACTTGAGCACATGATGGCAGAAACATTGGTTAATTCATGGTGGTTTGTTTCTTCTAATTTGTCTTGCCCGCTCTCATTCCAGTTGTAGGTAGGAGATACATGCTGCCATGTGTAGCAGGGCCCGATTTCAGACCGGCGTGGCGCTCGCCTGTGCACGCGGAAAGTGTCGTGGGCAGGCTGCCTTACTAATTATCGCGAGGTCTATTTCGACGAACCATGTTGGGTTCAGAGGTGTGTTTTTTACAGCGTTTGGTTTTATGCAGTTTCAAAGCCTCTTTTTTGGGTTATGTGCATTTTTGTTGATGTCATTTTTGTATCGCAGGAAATGCATTGCCAGAAAGGCACAGGATATTTCAGGAGATCAAGAATATGTTTAAGCACTCAATAAACAACATACAATTTGCAAAGAATCTGCAGACCAAGCGCCGGTCGTGTGGACTTACAACTAAGTCCTCGTAAAGTTGCGTGGTCGAAGAACATATTAGAATAGAATAACTCTTGCATAGCTTGGTAAGCTTAGCATAGCTCAGCATAAGTTTAGCATGCGTATGCAAGTTATGCTGAGCCTGCAGAAAGTTTAGCATATATGCTGAACTTGCTAAACTAAGAGAAGAACGAGTTCAGCATATTATGCAGAACTCAGGAAACATATGCTGAACTACTTGCATACACTTTGGGGACTTATGCTGAACTTATGTATCCTTCGTTTTTTGGTATAAAGGTAGATGAAGTTGGTATGTGGCGTAGTTTGCTTGTGAGGTGACACAACTGCTAGAGTTCTAGAGTAAGTCACGCTCATATTGGGACAGAGTCACATTTTGCTGGAGATCCAGAAGCCAACTTGAGCCAACGTAAACTCGTGACCTCTCGCAGAAAAAAAGAGTCCCAGCGTCGCCGGTACAACTATTTTTCATATAAACTCAGCACCGCACATTGCGGACCATCGATTTTCAGGTATCTTCACTTTATGCGTTGGAAAAGCTCTTGCGCAAACACGCTGCCCAAACCGTAAACCCAAATAGGGCTCGTGATAATCAATAGGCTGCCTTGCGCCGAGGGGGAAAGCACTTCCCAAGTTTTTGCACGGCCAACAACTGCTAAACTTAGCAATTGCTAAGCTTAACAGCTGCTAAGCCCACACCACAAGTCCCAACGTTTGCTTTCGTGCACCGTACGATCCTGAAAAAAAACTTTCGCAGACTTAGCAAGAGTTGCTTCTAAGGAGCTCGCGCGTTTGGTTTGATGAACTGGACCACAGGGGGGAAATGGTAAAAGGATGGTTCTAGGGATTGGTCTTCAAGGTTTATCATTGCAGTACTTTTTGCTAGGATTTACCACTTTTCAATTTCCACCCAGTCGAGTCGACGACTACGACTACGATCCTATAAGGACACAGGCAATCCAGGAATCACATTGACCGGCCAAATTAGACAAACGCTTACTGTTGCGCTACATCTAGCCACGGTTCCCGGTGAAAATGTCAAAATATCCTACCAAAAATCTTGATGACGAATCATCCCAACTGATTGCAGGCCGGCCCTGCCGATGACTTGGTTTTGATTGAAAATTGAATATTTTTCGACGCGCGTTTCAACGAATTCCGCCTTGAAGATGTTAGGATAGTTTAGCATTTTTTGTCTTTTCACCATTCATAGCATCAATTCCATCAGCGGAGTGTGCTTTGGACAATGTATCATTAAGCAATCATGAGGTAGGTGTTTGCAGCATTTTTTCTTTTCACTGTATCGCCATTTCAAACTCAGTCACAACTGGGTTTATACTGTCCTTTGCGGTCTTGAGGGTGGGAAACCCGTTTGAGGTGATGAAATACCATATCATCAGATAGTTGGTTGCCCTTGTCTTCCCCCTGATGTTTCTGTAACCTTCGTCATCATCATTCATCTCACCCGCAGTTTCTTGATGCAACTCAAAATCAAGTGGTTCATTGGCTATGGCTTTCCTTGTTCTCTACAGGGGCACTGACGAAAGCCCGCCCAAGATGTGTTCAACAACATGTTTGGGCAGTATGAGGCCATGTTCATTAACTCTACCCTTGCAGGTCTTTTACAGCGTACCACTTTTTCATTTCGTCCTCCAAAAGCTTCACTATGTTTGTATTACTATAACTACAGTAATATTGTATCCTTTCCATGCTCACTTACTATACAGGATTGTATCCGTTCAAGAACATTTTCTAGTACTAGTTTAAGAAAATCTGCTAGTATACGGCACGAAGATTCACGAAAGAGTTGATAATAAGCAGCGTGTAGAACGACATGGAAAAAGGCTTTGGCTCAATCCAAGACATGCTAGGTTATAACAAGCAAAGCGGAAAGACCCGTCCATCAATATTGTAGATGTGAAAGAGCTAATGAAGAAGCAGCCGAACAAACAGATTACAGGATACAGGGGCTCAAACTCTTACACGGCTCCATTCGCGAGGTTTGAGTACCAGATTGACGATTCCTACTGCATACGATGCCACTAACAAAAAACCTGAAGCGAAAATACCGATGAAGAATACGGAGCCATCCTGCACGTTAGTCGTCATAGATAATTTCTGCAAGGTGGGCGGCGGCGTGCCTATAAAACAGAGAGACGGCGAAGAGGCAAAATTTTAACTTTAACCAGGTTTGTTTTCCAATGTCAATAAACAGTGATGACGACGAAGCGTTTGAAACAATAGTCTCCAAGTTCTTCAAAAACGAAGCCATCAATCAAACAATCACAAGAACACACGCTAATGTCGTGGAGCGTCACATCAGAACACTTAAGAATATATACTTCCTACCTTAAGGGGAGGTCATCTACCCCCTACCCTGGATTTAATCCTGAGCTGCCCCAGGTTTAAACTAGGAAACTCGAGCCGTATTAATCAGAGGAGCTTTCGTTTGATTTGAACTATTTAATCAGGAGAGCCAAGACTGTTGTAAAGAGCAATTGAGGGAAAAAGATCTGTTCGGTAGCTACTGCTTTCGGGGCGTAGGTCCTTAGTGCTCCTTAGTGATCCTGGAAACCAGGACTGCAACCGACTACAGCGTCCTGGCAGGACCCGCAATAACAGTTTCCTGGAAACCAGGACCAACAACAGTACCCCGCCCCAATTTGATTCCTCAAAATCATAAAACTAACCCACAGGTAGTCGAGTTCCTTCTATCCTTCGAGTTTCTTTATCCACATTCTGCTTCCCCCCTTTTGTAATTAATCAACCCCCTGGCGGGCTAATTAACCCAACAACTTGTCATAAAGGCTTTGTTCGACTTCTTGGTTAGCCAACCCCCTCAGGGTTTTTGTATGATTTTGCGAAACTAATCCAAATAGTCAATCCCAGAGCTCAGAGGGGCCTTGAAAATGGAGGATCAACAACAATATGAATCCAAAAAGAAAAATCAAAACAAACTTAAAAGGGTTCAAAAAAATATAGATCTGCCGACGCAATACTAAAACAAATGACAGGCGAGAATCAAAAGCGCAAACAATAAGGATCAACAAAAACACAGTCATGTGCGCGGTGGCAGCAATAGGAGGTGGTGGTGGTGGTAGCAGTAGCAGTAGCAGTAGCAGCAGCAGGAGGAGTAGTGGTAGTGGTAGTGGTAGTGGTAGTGGTAGTGGTAGTAGTCGTAGTCGTAGTCGTGGTTGTAGTGGTAGTAGTAGTGGTAGTGGTAGTGGTAGTGGCAGTGGCAGTGGCAGTGGCAGTGGGAGTGGCAGTGGCAGTGGTAGTGGTAGTAGTGGTAGTAGTAGTAGTAGTAGTCGTCGTCGTCGTCGTAGTCGTAGTGGTAGTGGCAGTGGGTGGTAGTGGTATGGTGTGGTAGTGGTAGTGGTAGTGGTCGTGGTAGTACTAGCAGCAGCAGCAGCAGCAGCAGTAGTAGTAGTAGTAGTAATAATAATAATAGTAGTCCTAATTGTAATCGTAGTCGTGCCAGTAGTAGTAGTGGTAGTCGTAGTTGTTGTTGTTTTTGTTGTTTTGTAGCTGTAGTAGTAGTAGTAGTAGTAGTAGTAATAGTAGTAGTAGTACTACTAGTAGTAGTAGTAGTAGCAGTAGCAGTAGCAGTAGCAGTAGTAGTAGTAGTAGTAGTAGTAATAGTCTTTGTTGTTCCGGGAGCAGTAGTAGCATCAGGTTCCTCACAGATTTTTGATCTTCTTCCACGCACGAAGCTTTCGAGGCGGAAAATACGTCTTCAAGCCGCTTGGGCCTGATATATTGTCTGGTATAACCCTGGGAAAAACAGAAACAGAGCGCCGCCCTACCACTTGGCCTAGAATTTCTTTACTAGATAACGCGCGCGATGTTTCACTCACACAGCACGCTCGCTCCACTCAGAAAACCAACGGCAGCCTGGCAAGGAAAGCCGGTGAAGTGATTGTTCTGGGCACTTGCGAAAGAGATTGGTGCGCTTTGCAAAGGCAAAGTGCTTGTTTTGCCGTTATGTCTCCCACTATGAAGCCTTGACGCTGGTTTATCTTATCTCCAGGATTCTCCAGGGCTTGTATTTGTTGTTGTAGCAAAGCAAGGTTTGCGCTGGAAACCCTGAACCGTGACGGAAACGTATCCCAAAGCGATAGGACGGATTGTTCCTTATGTCATCCCCACAAGACCTGAAAACAACAGCCGTTCGGATTCAAAAGCAGGTGTCCGGAAAAGGATGGAAAAGGTGTTGTTCAGGTGAGCTGAGAGGCTTTGCAGGACACCTTGCCTTGTTGACCTTTCCCAACAACTTTCAGCCTCAGCCAACGGGTCCACCGTCAGAAAGGAGGCGCCCCACAGGGACTCGAAGCTTGGCGTTGATGTTTGCAGGCGTTTAAAGGGTCTTCAGGACACTTTCTTGAACGCGTGGAATTTTGAGCGAAATGTCGGCAAAGAAATTCCGCGGCCTAAACAAAATGCTCTGCTATGGTTTCTTCACCGTCCATGTTAGAAACCGGTGACTCACAGTGACACAATGGCATGGGGCTCTTTCTCGACACAGCCACGCAAGCAGCTGGAACCTCACCAGCCAACAAGTTTCCGGAGTGTCCGGCCAAATGTAGCAGTGTTTCTCTCTCTCTCTCTCTCTGTCTGTGGAAGTACACAAAATTGTGGACACCGATTGCACCGACAATGAATTGTTGAACCTGCCGGTATGACTGCCACACAAATCATATGCCAGAAACCGTGTCACAACATACGTGGGAAAAAGTGACGGGTTTAGCAGAACAAGTGTGCAAGATGCGTTTCAGGGACTTATACCAGAACCAAATTCGAAGTGTTTGCCTGGATAGGCTGTCAATACATGTGCCTCCCTTTCTCTAATCACCTCTCAGGAGGGACCGCTGCTGGAAGTAAACAAATTATCTCTGCAAGATGTAGGTAGGTATGTCCACCGAGTCTGCCGGCCTGTGTTGATGGGTCGACTTCACGCTTGGATTCAAGGCGCGCAGCTTTTAGGCTCAGCAAGCCGGCGTTGTGTGGTCACATTCCTCTCTTTGCCCGTGACCATGCCAGCTTTTGAGCCACGCTTGGCACCTTTGCCCAACAGTTTCTTCGTGGTCCCGGAGGACGAAAACACAGCGTGCCTCGAGCGAAGGAAGACGGGCAGCCAGGGTCAGCGACCGGGATCAGAAAAAGGGGAAGAGGTTGGGAGCGTTCAATTCGTTGATGTATCGTTCCCGTTTTCTAGCAAAAGGGTGGCGAGGTTAAAGCCAATCAAACTTGGAACTTGTCGAACGCATGTTCTTGCATGTTTCAACAGTTTGGGCATATTTTTGATGGTTGGACGGTTGGACATTTGGTCACTCTTTCCTGAGATCATGGAACACTTTTTGGCAAAGACGGCGGCGGCGCAGAGCGAAAACATAGTTGGAACATGTTGGAACCTTGGACATGCATGACAATTAATCTATTCCTGACATTAGGCTTGGAAAACGTGTGTAATTGGTGTGGAAGGTGAGCCAGTAACACCCCCCGAATTGGGGCAGCGAGTGTTTCTTTTTTCTTCTCCCGGTGGTTCATGAGTTTGGGTCATGTTGTTGGTGTCCACCAGCGTGGACTCATTTCGGCCATCTCAGGTCCAAGCTCCGCCGCAGTGCGAGTTTCTCAGGCTACATCCCACACAAGTATGCGGATGATGCAGCTGGGCAAACCAATTGGCTGTTGGTATGGTGGGGCGGGGTCTGGCAAACGTTTTGGGTTTAAGTCTGACATGCGTCCTGGTGACAGCTGCGTGTGGCAACAAATCGGAACTTCATTGACAAGACTTTTTTGCGGCCCCGCCCCTCCCTAGCCGCTTCGTCATCCGATCGTAGGCTAGCTTAGGGCCTAGTTTCGGTAATCCATCCAGCGCGAGGAGAAAGGGGAAAAACAAAATTGCATGGATGAGGCCCGTAAGGGGTGCCAAGTTTTCCCAAGGCCCGTAACTTAGCACGTCCCATTGTTGTTACTGTGGGGCCGTTTGTTGACATGAATCATTTCTAATATATATATATATGTATATATATATATAAATACTGCTAACCTAGCTTCCATGATGATGCTTGAACAAAAGGCCATAGATGAAAGTAGTTCCAGTTTGTTCACTTTGTTCTTTGGAGTCGCCTCTCGTGACTTCACCAGCAGCCGATCCAGGCACAAAAGGAAGCAAACTTGGCAGCTCCAGAAGCACTCAGCACATCTCCAAGTACACCTCATGCGCTCGGCAACCGCCAAATCCTTTTGAGCGAATGCTCGGGCGACTTCGTGGGGTGCGAGGCCCACGGGATCCCACGAGTGTCCGGGCGTGCTATTTTTGGAGGTGTGTATCTTGTTTACGGCGTGATGTGAGATGAAAAGTGGCTGGAGTACACCGAAGGGCAGGTTCTCGTGAGCTTTTGGCTTTTGATGGCTTTTGGTTTCTATGGTTTTTGTGGGTTCTGGCTTTGCATGGCTGCTGGTTTTTTGTGGTTTTTGGCTTTTGTAGCGTCCGTGGCTTTGCCGACTTTGGACTTTTGGTGGCTTCAGACTTGATGAGGTATGAGATATGTCCTTTAAGATCACAAAGTGCCGTGTCTTCCGCAACATTTTGTCAGTTTTCAATACCAGTCACCCCGCCATGATTCTTTTGAAATTCGCAAAGTGCTGCGCGTGCCGACAGGGAAGAACAATGATAAAAACAACAGAATACTTTCACATAAATACCATTCGGGAATGTTTCACCAGGTGTTAAAGTTGCACAAGACCAGCGCAGCCCCATAGTGGTGGATGCTAACCAGGCTTTTGCAATCTGACCGCCACCAGGCCTATGTAGATTCTGCAATCCCCGCAGCAGTGGATGTCAAGGGCCACCAGGCTTTGCCAATGTTACAAAAGACTTGGATGCTCAGATCAGTGAGTTTCACAAAGCACTGCCACCGTAAATTTTCAAGAAGGAAAGGGACAACTCCAACTTCCAACATAATACACCTTCTGTCAGCCACCCGAGGCTAAAACTTAAGAGGTTAAACCGAACTGTAGGATGCCTTTGCAACCCACCAGAGGGCATAGAGTGCTGCGTCTGCCACCGGAAAACATTTTGAAACAAAATGCTCTTGAATAAGACGTAGCATCGCGACAAACCCACAACTGTGGATGCTAAGGGCCACCATGCTTTTGTCCTTTGACAAAGACCTGAATGTTGAGATCAGCGCTCGGAGCTGCCCAAAGCGCACTCTGAGGTTCACAAAATGCTGCCGCAAAATCTCCATTTCCAGCCACAAAACAACACCAAACAAAAACATACCAAAACAATCCGCGCCCTAAGTCCATTGAACATCATGACTTTGACTTTGACCACCACCTCCGATTCCTCACGATGCCCGGTAAGCTTTGGCGGGGCGTAATGGTGGACCTTGATGCAAGGGAGACTAGGGAGGGCGAATTGATGTTGCCTGACCATTTTCTCTGCAAAACCATCAGTTGGCGGGGTGCTCTGCCCAATTTTTTCAACAGCCCCTTTGGTATGAACACTGGCGTGGCAGGAGCCAGACAGCCAAGCGGACAACGACCTGGAGGAACCTTGGCTAGACACCGATGATGAACTCGAGCCTGGGACTCTCCCCTTGCCGCTTCCGTTGCCTCCATCCCAGGCAGGTGGGGTCAGTGGCTGCTGTGGCCGGTGTCAAGAGAAGCGAGCAATTGATGCTGTACAGTAAGGGATCAGGTGGCATGGATGAGTGAAGAACATTACATTTTTGTTGCCGGCAGCAGTCTTGGTTTTTTGCGTGCGAAGGGAATCGGCCTCCTCAGCTCACTTCACACTGTGGTCACTTCTGTGTGGTTTTGGTGGATTTTTGGGATCAAGTGGACCAATAGCAGCTTCGCAGGGCATGCGCTTTGTCCTCCCTCATAGACCTGAACATCACCGCAATCCAATGGCGCCTGTGTGCGCGATGCCACAGGTTCAACTGGATCAAAGGCGAGGCCTGATGGAGGAAAACGCCTCGTGAGTGGACGCAGAAGATACATCCATCTCCAGATTCTGGGATGGGGTTCACCATGGTTCACATTCATCGCGCCAACTGAACAGTTCTGCAGCTTGTCACCTGCAATGAAAGACCCACGAGCTCAGGTTCCATTTCCACAAGAAGAGCTCACAAAAGACACTGATGTTCCGTGCTCCTCTCGTGGCTGCAATGATTTGGCCAGCATTTTGGACCCCAGTTCGGTCGGACCACCCGGTTCAGTCGAGTTGGACCCACTGACGCTGGCCACCACGCGGGCGCCAGGGGGGGCTTTGCCATGACCTTGGCGCCTGGTGCGCAGGTCCGGATCGGTGGGAGTGATGCGGAACTTGCTTTTCAGTGCTGGGTGCTACCAAGACGGAACGAATTAAATAGGTAACTAGGGCCTGCAGGTTAGGAGATGTGGTGAGGCTCGCACCGCCGACATATGCTTCGCAAGTCTATATGGGAGTCTGACACAATAGGGACTCTGAGTAGGGCGGTGCGTGGTGCAACGGGGCGGGATGTTTCAATCCTAGAATGTCTTCAAGAACATGTGGTCTGGATAAATTCCGAAGTGTCCCAGAAAGAAGGTGAAAAGTATAGGACAAATCGGAGCTTATTGCTCGGGTACTGGAGTTGAGACTTTCAGCCTTTTTGTAAACTCGTGTTTAGCTGCATTGGTTGGAGCTTCACACCGAGCGGCCGAGCGGTGTTTGCAACGACTTCTCAACCTTCTCCGAGAGAGTTACCCTATGTTGGACACAGGATTGGATGCCCAAATGGGGTCCCTTGGGCCTTGATCTGCAGGGGGTCCCTGCTGTCTAACATGCAATAGATGTGCGTGTGTGCGGTGTTGACTTATAGGGTCTCTTCTTCATTATCATTAGCGGTGGCAAGGTGCAGAGCAATCTAATTCCCGGAGGCATTCGTAGCAGCTGGCATCGTTCCGCCGGTTCATAATCTATAATGGAACCACTGTTCTTTTCCAACGGGTTTTTGGATATTTTTTCCAGGTTCTGTTGCCGAGGAAGGAAGGAAGGAAGGAAGGAGGGAAGGAGGGAAGGAGGGAAGGAGGGAAGGAGGGAGGGAGGGAGGAAGGGAGGAAGGAAGGAAGCAAGCAAGCGAGGAAGGGAGGAAGGGAGGAAGGGAAGAAGGAGCAATGTGTCAGTGCCGGGATGCTCACTATACTTTGTTTTTGCGGGGGAGGCGCTGCGCTCTCCCCCGCACCCCCTTCCGCTTTTCTTTTTTAATTAAGCAAGTCACTCAAAGCAAAACCAGCAAACCAGTTTGCAAGCGACTGGCCTGCAAAGCATTTGACCCTCAAACACTTTACAGAAAAAAGGACCTGGACACAAACAACTCTTGGTGATTTGTTTTTCAGCGCGTGCGTGCTCAATACACGTTGTTTTCCTTGCAGGGAGGCGCTGCGCCCTCCCCCGCACCCCCCCCCTCTTTTTATTGATGGTTTTGCTACAGCGCATCACGACAGCCAAGAAAACAACCAAGTGCATACATACATACATACATACAGACAGACAGACAGACAGACATACAGACATACATACACACATACATACAAAAATACATACATACGTACAAACGTACAGACAGACAGACAGACAGCCAGACAGACAGCCATGCATGCATACATGCATACATTGATTAGTCCGTAGAAGCGCTAAAAACATTTCTTGAAAAAACGCGTAAAACGGCCAGAAAACCATGGTTATGGGGGGTGGCAGGGTTAGATGGCAAGGTTTTATATTTGTTGATCATTTTTTGGTGTTGTACTGTGGTTTTTCTCTATGGTTTCGTTGTTATTTTAGTGTTTGTTCTGCAGCTCTTGTGATTTTACCACATTTTGTATGTTTTTTGTTGTTTTTTAACGCTTTGAAGGACTTTTTTGTAGGTTTGGATGGTTTGAGGACAGATTTTTTAATATTTGCGGCGTTTTCGAGTAGATTTGGCTGATATTGAGTGCTTGAAAGCTATCAAAATTCATTCTTGTTGCTTCGGCTGCGTGTGTGTATGACTCGAAGCGTGCACGTTTGGGTCATGCCCAGCAAAAAAAGAACACACACACACAAAAAACACTCAAAAACACGCCATCAATCACTCACACCAAAGCTTCGCTGTGAGCAATGGTGAAAATCTAAAGAAGTGGAAGTGTTAAAACCCTCATTTGAAAAGCGCTTAAAACGGCTATAAAGCCTTGGTTTCGGGGGGTGGCAGTGGTAAGTGGCAAGATTTGATGTTTGTGTTTATTTTTAAACATTTCAACGGTACTGGGACACGTTTTCTTGCATGATTATCTAATATTTGAGGGTGTTGTTATGTTTTGTTTAATTGATTTTGTGCTTTTTGTGTGTTTTGTAGTGTTTTTTTGTAGATTTGCAGGGTTCGAGTGATGTTTTTCCTTACTTACATGTTTTGGAGCAGATTTGGTTGATATTTTGGTGATTGGGGTGGTGTTCTTGTTGTTTTTTTGTGTCTTTGGATGGTTTTGCAGAGCGTGTGCGCTTTTTGACTCGCCGGCCCGCTGCATCTGCAGCACTTTTCGATTTTATCTTCGAAACTTCGAGTTTGGTCATGTTCTTTGGTGCACTTGATGTTTATTTTATTTTGGGCTTGTTTTCAAGCACCACTTAAGCACCATGCACTCATCTCATCAGCAGTGTTCAAGCACCATGCACTCATCTCCAGAGATGGCAAGGGAAGGGGAGGAGGAGAGGGGCGGACTTGAAATTACGGTTTGTTTTGCAGTGGGACGGAAGTGGGACGGAAGTGGGGCGGAAGTGGGGCGGAAGTGGGGCGGAAGTGGGGCGG